CCTAGGTACCTGGAAGACCTCCGTGATCACTTGATGGCACTGCGCAAAGCCAAACCTGCTGGCAAGTCCAAGAAGAGTCGGAAGAAAAATAAAAGTCTACTCAAGGACAAGAAACAGCATCTTAAGATACTTATCAAGTATCTTGACCATGACTTTGAAAGCACAAAAGAAAGCCTCTATCCCATGCTTAAGAATGGCCTCATCACATTTGAGCTACTTTGGGCTTTGTGGAAACCGGATACACTTGTCTATGCCACAACGTACGGAAACGCAAGCGAGCCACGAGTGTTCAAAGTCGAATCAGCGAATTTACACCACAGCGTTATGAGAGGCAGTTATTATCACATTGAAGGTAAATACATGGAATTCGATGGCAAACGCTTTGGTTATGGCAACACCTCAGTCGAGATAGACGGGTTCCAAGGCGCCAAGAAGATCAAGAGTCTTCCTTGTTATCCGCTTGAATACCACCATAACGAGCAGAAACTCCGACTTGACTTGATTGAAAGAGGCAAGAAGTTTGCGTCATTGAGCGGTGTTCACTACAAAAGCTACAAGGGTATTGCCTTCATGAAGCGAAGAAATGGCTCGGTTATGAAGTTTAACATCCAGTCCAGCAGAGTCATGATCGACCCGACTATCTTTAGGAAGACCAACCCCAACTACAGCGTCTCGACTGTTAAGCCCAAGGACCCCGATATCATCGAAGAAGAGACTTCGGAATCGGATTCCGGTAACTGTGCGTGTGGCTCAGATTCGGAGGGTGCAGGAATGGTGAAGTTTGTCAAGAAAGTCTACAAGGACGAGAACGGCGACGTACATATGGTCAGCTTTCCGAAAAGCTTGGTCAAGGATGAGCCCGGAAACACCGAACTCGATGAACTCCCCTCCAAAAATGTGGAGGGGGATGATGACGAAGACGTGGACACCGTCGATTTCACGGATGAGGATTATCTCATTGCCTCTCCGGTGGTACTTGGTTTCTCATTTTCAGAAAAACAATGGCTAGAGCTCGCCGTTTCCTGCGTCAATGAAATCAAATGGAATGAGAAGGCGTGGGACTCCCTGGTTCTGGAAGATGGCACCAAGGACCTGATCAAGGCCCTTGTGAAGTCACGCAAGTATCACGCGGCTAACACTATCGATGATGTTATCCAGGGCAAGGGAAAGGGACTCGTCAGTAAGTTCAACATGTCCAGACATCCGAAGCGCAGAAACTAACAGTATAAAAGCCGTCCTACACGGACCTCCTGGAACTGGCAAGACACTCACGGCTGAAGGAATCGGAGAATTGCTTCAATGCCCACTTTATATGGTATCGGCTGGCGAGTTAGGAACAGACTCGAGGTTTCTGGAGGCAGAGCTGCAAAAAATACTGGACATTTGCCATGCTTGGGGTGCTATCCTCCTTCTGGATGAGGCAGACGTATTCCTGGAAAAACGTAACATGCACGACATCCATCGCAATGCCCTTGTGAGCATTTTCCTTCGGCAGCTGGAGTATTTCCAGGGAATTTTATTTCTCACAACGAACCGAGTAGAAGTGAGTACCTGGATTCCCTTGGCTTCGAATGATTACTAACATAGGAGTGGCTCAGACCTTCGACGAAGCCTTCCAGTCCCGAATTCACATCGCCTTGCGATATGACAATCTCAAGTCTCCTGCAAAGCGGGCTATCTTTAAGATGTTCCTCGACCGTGTTCATAAGCTGGGCAAGCTCAAAGTAGAACCATTGACCGAGGATGATCTGGACTTACTGTCGAAGCAAGCTCTGAATGGACGCGAAATCAAGAACGTGGTGGGCTCGGCTCAGGATCTCGCCGTTAACAAGGGTGAGGCTCTTAGCATGCGCCACATCAGACAGGTTCTCGAAGTTCATGCCAAATTTGGGCGGGATTTGAAAGGAGGATCTGGTTATGAGGATGCCATGAGAAGCTACTTCTAGTTTTGGATTGGGCATGATGTGGGTTACTGGACAGCGGTGAAAAGACGACAGAGATGGCTCGTCTTATGCCAAGCGTCTGAGATTGAAATTACTTGGTATTCATGTCTGATAGTCTGAGTTATAGCGTTGTTGAATTATGTATGTATCAGCTTCTGCGATAAATTGTGTTTGCTCGAAAGCATTGTGCCTGTCTTAACCAGGAAAACAGTTCGTGACTTGAGGTAGACTTGCTTCATGAAGGTAACTGCAATAAGGCTCCTTTTCAAAGCGGCGATACCCTTCTGGGTTGTTTACATAACAATGCTCCTGGGACATATCTCTTGAGGATCGAGACATTCGCTAATCTGAGTACACTCACAGCATACGGAGAGGTGTGATGTCGTCTGCAAGCCAGCCGCACTCGCTCATATATCAACCCATCGTCTTCAGTCATGCACTCTCTTGCCTTGACTCACTGCTATTTTGATCACGCATATGTCGCCCCTCGTAGCCCAGCTTCACTTTGCGAAAACTGCTGACGAAAGCACGGGTTAATAGAGATTAGGAGCGGGATCTTTATTGGAGATCCCTGGATGATGGCCGAAGATCAAACTCAATGCAGCTACTCCGGGCTCCTTTTTCAACGAACCGTAGGATTGAATGGGGTCATACGGAGTAGTTGTCACTGTCAGTGTTTAACATGAGCATTCATTCAATCTCGCTCATGAAGAACCCTAACTAAAAGGTTATCTTGAAGGCGCTCCTCGGTTTCAACATGTACCCATCCTTAAATCAACATGGCCTGAATAATAACAGTGAGTGCCAGAAATAGCAACATTCTCCACACATGACTATAGCACATAATAGTATCACCAGGTACGTAGTTAGCTTGTCGTGAAGGATTCAAATGAGACGTATGATGCTGGCAGGCTGTTTTTCCTTGTTTCTAGAATCCCTAGAATCCGTGACGATATCCCGTTGCTAAGAAATGAGACAAGCACAGTCAAGAACCATGGGCAGAGTCAAAGATTCTGGTTGGCACGGAGTGTGTTACAGAGGGCAATTAAAAGAACAATTTACGATGCTGGTTCAATGGCAACATTCCAGTCCAGGGAGGGAAATACATAATATCACTTGACGGTTCCCTCGCCCTCTTGGTCTGCTCGGAAGGAGGATTATTAAAGTATTCATGGGTAATATTCTCGATCCAGTTCTTAAACCCGGCAAAGGAGCAGGACCCCATGAACCCTGGTCGTGCTGGGGTTGTGCTGTGGGCACAGTAAGCCTCGTATAATATTCACTTTCCTTAATGGGCTCAGTTCATTCAGAAGCTGGAGAGGGTGTTTGTTGTAAGCAACCGGAATAGAACAGGCTTTGAAGGTCTTGCACCAACAAGAATGTTTTGTTTCAAATTTTTGAAAGACGTCTTTGTAAGAGAGGCATTCCTTTGTCTCCCAGAGCAAGACCATGCATACCTTGGTACCATCAAACAATGCAAACATAGCGGCCGCGATCTTAGGACACATACATGCATAGCAGACAGATCTGCCGGGAGTCACCGCCTACCGATTGCAGCATGTCTCAGCTCAAGACTTCCCTTGTCGAGTCAGCGAAAAAGGGAAAAAGGGCTCCTCTCCGACGTGAGTGGCTGGACAGTCTCATTTCCATTGCCCCTAGAGATCATGCGCATGCTGTCGACGGCACTTCTGGTCGGCATCATTCCATTGAGGGAAGCGAAAGTGTCTAATTTGATTTGATCATATCAGTCATGTCTCGTCAGCCTTTTTTTTGTTTACTACCTACAGGCTAATACGTACAACTGCGCACTGGAAAGGAGGCGCTTGCGTCCTCTGGGACAGACCGGACCACTACGAAACACACCAACGAACGGGTCGAACGGTGAGCGAGGCAAGGAGGGCGCCGCCTCTTTTCCACTTAGCGAATGGGACTCTGGAGATGCCACGGGTGAAAACAAGGTTTGTTTGGCTGGGCTGGCTGGCTGTTGGGGAAATAACGCCAGTAACTTACTGTACATATGCCACAGCGGCTGTTGTCACAAAGCGCACTAACTATCACGGGTATCACGATTTGCAGGTCACAGCACAATTGCATACAGTTGCGCATCTATCCGATGGGTCCACGTATTCAACTGTCGATTCACCGCATTCATAAGGACTGCCACGACATCCGACACCTCAGTTGTTCACCAGACAGACAGACAGATAGATACCAACAAGGCACCACTGTACAATATGCAAATGCAAGCCAGTATGCAGGCGTACCAGTACGAGCCGTCACCGACAGAAACAAAATCACTCGACACACTGACATGACTGCATGTTCCTTCTCGTGGCAGCTCGTCACTTGCTTTTTCCGTCCCCGGCGTTCCAAACAATCTCTTCTCTCTGATCGCCACTGGATCACGGCATTCGTTCTTGTCACTTGCCCAAGAATAGAATATGAACGGCTTCATTGACCTGAAGTAAATGAGCTCCTCATCAACAACCCGAGAGCTAGAAGGTGATCAGCGATTACCCTGCCGTCCTTCTATGCCTTAAGCTCTTTTTCGGTCTAGTCTACCGCTGGAACCAGTGTCCCTGTTTTCCGTTTACACATCTCATCAATAAGTCTGGCATAATCTGCTGACGCGGCCGGCGATCTGGTGTCTCTGGCGGGTTCAATTTTTTGGCAGTGGACCAGATTCAAGACTCTACAGGTACGAGGCCTGCCAGGTCAAGCAGGCACAACGACCTGGTTGGCTATGTCGGAATTAGGACGACTGGGAGGTGAGATGGCCCAATCAAGTAGCCTTGGTACCTGGCAGGGGTGAAAGTCCTTACCCCTGGGGCTGTGGCGGAAGCAGAGCTTGAACTTGGACTGAAAGGGTGTGGTGGGCCTGGTCCATGACCTTGGCATCAAGTGCTAGCGTCGTTTCTGCATTAGCCCTGGTGTTGATACCGGTGCAAGCGTTGCTGGTAGCTCGCCCACTTCCCAGGTCCACATCCCAGTACTGCACACACATGCGTTCTGGCCGAAGGAGACGGAGGGATGTGGGAATTGCAGCAAGGGTCTTGTCCAGCAACCTAAGAAAGCGGCCCTGAACTTGCAGGGGCGTGCGTGCCGGCTTCTGAATGAGAACGGAAGAAGAGAGATGAGAGACATGGCGTCCACACACACACCACGCCACGCCTCCCAAATTGGGTTGAAAGGGGACTCAAAGACACACACCCCTTGCTCACCTTATAACCCTCAATTCCTCCCTCTTCTGTCTCTCCTTTGATTCTTCACTCCTCAGTCTTTTTGGATCACGGCCTTTGCCTTCTGTCACTCCTTCACAGCACTACGCTGATAACACTCTCTTGAACCAACTTACCTTACAATCCTTATAAAGGCAAAAGGAAGTATTCCGGAAATACAACCGATTACCAAAAGCCGTCACTCTTCCAACACAACATAACATATACACAAATCACTCAAAATGAAGGTCTCTTCCTCCGTTGTCATTCTGGCCGCCGCCCTCGGGGTGTCTGCCCACCCCAGCGGCCACGCTCACCAGCGTGCTCACGCCAAGCGCGACTTCGTCGTTGCCAACAAGCCCGTCACAGTCGTTGAGTACGCTACTCAGGTCGTCACCGCTGATGCCGCCCCTGCTACCGCTGTCGCTGAGGCTCCCGCCTCTCCCAAGGTCGATGCCGACACCGTTGTCCCCAAGGCTTCCACCAGCGCTCCCGCCCCTGCTGCCTCCTCTCCTGCTAAGAACAAGGGCAAGAAGCACAACTCCAGCTCCGGTTCCGGTTACAAGGCTTTCTGCGGTGGCAAGAAGGCCAAGCGTGCCACTCTAGAGGACATTGCTTCCACTGGCAACACTGGTGTTCCCGGTAACTTTGGCTGCAACATCATGACTGTCGATGAGGATGTCGCCGACAAGTACGACTACACTGTCACCTTCAACAACGACCACGATAGCGACAAGGAGTGTGCTTGCTGGAACAAGATCGGTCCTGATGGCAAGATCGACGGTTTCTTCGCTCAGAACGTCGCTCTAGAGTTCACTGTTTCCGCCTCCAGCTCACAGGTTGTTGCTATCGACAGCGACTCCCAGGGTGGCTGCGCTTGTGCCACCAGCAAGGTCCCCACCACAAAAGACAACCTGTGGGCTGGTACTTGGCTCGAGTTCGACTTTGGCAGCAAGCGAAACAAGAACTGGTCTGGCGCTGACGCCTCTTGCCTTGTCTCTGCCGCCGCCAAGCTTGACATCCCCGGTCTCCGAGTCTGCGACACCGCCTCCAACACTTGCTCTACCATCAACCCCGGCGGCACTGGCGAGAACGCCTACCTCGGTGGCATGGAGGCTGAGGACGGTATTGGTATCAACACTCCTGCCAGCCAGGTCCGCCTCACCGTCGACATTGACTACTCCGCTTAAGCTATGTCAATCATAGCTTGTGGTTTAGTTCATATGAGAGCTGGGCCTCTGCGTAAAACTTGATTTTATAGAATTGGGCTTATTCTATCTATACCTGGTGTTTACGGTGCTCGGAATTCAGCCATCCAGGGCGATCCTGGATCTTGGCTTTGGGATCTATCTATTATAACTTCTAACATATATATATTCATAGTGTTATGACATATATTCATTTCTCCTGCTTAATGGTTCATGCTGTGACTTTTTCTTGATGTGATGGAATGTCGTTGCTTCGCTTTAATTAATTAATTGCGTTGATCCCCCGCCAATCCCCAGATTTTGTCAATCCTCTTCGCCAAGTGATTCATTTATCTTAAATCCCTCCCGATCGCTCCGGATCCTCTGAGCGAAAGGATCGAAACCCTCGAGAAAACGCAACTTGGATCAACAAGATGGCCGCCGATGCAACAATTAACAGTGGATGAGACCCACCCTGATCAACATATTTTTCATCTCGATTTATCGAAAATCTCTGCCTTTTCCTTGCGTCTTTTTTTGTTCTCTTGGGACTTCTTGGTATGTTCTCTGCGATGGAGACATGACAATCAGACTTTTC